GTGGCAGCTGAAGACTCTGCCACAGCATCCACTCTGCCTAATTTCTACTATTTATTTCCTTCCAGTGACTTTTGGTTTGGTGTATTTTAATTTTTCTATGTCTTGAGATCACTGTCACATTTTTAATTTGATGTCTTTCTTGGTTTTTGTGGATGTGAGTACATATTGCATTAAACTTCCCTGGCTCCTTGTTTTGGCCTGGCACAGCTCTGGCCATTGTGGGCCCTCTGGGGAGTGATCTCTCCCTCTCTGTGCCTCTGTCTCTCCCTCTCTGTAACTCTACATTTCAAATAAAGAAATTAATAAATCCTTTCTGTAAAAAAATAAAAAAGGCCTGAGGCTGCAATCTCCCTGCAGCCACTTGCTCAGGGGATACTCCCCCCTCCCTCAGCTTGGAGAATCCCAGTTCAAGTTTATCCAGCTCCTCAGACCAGGAGTCAAACGCAGAGCAGTCTGGATGGGCTGCCTCACAAGCGACTGCCCGCTTCCAGGTTTCACACGTTTCTTATGGGGTGGGTGCGTGCACTTGTCAGGTTTAAACAGCACAGATTTCAGTGTTGTCAGTTGAGAGTCCAGCAGGATACTGGTAATAGTTAAGGTTTTGGTCATGGATTACATGACTACACTGCGTTCCCACACTTGATGTTACCTATGTGCACAAACAGTGAGATCGCTCATCATTTTCCCACGATGGCCCTGGGCTGTGAAGCTTCCTCCCCTTAGGGCGCAGCAGTCCCCTGGGTCACAGAGTTTGCTGAGAAGCTGTGCTCCTTGGGGGACTGACTGAAAGCAAGAGTGTATCAGATTACATTAGTCCCAAAAGTCCAGGAGGGGTAGAGGGACGATAATCTGTCTTTAGAGCTACTTCCTGCTGACATGGGGTGATGAGGTGCTCTCTGCTGGCATGGGGCGATGTCTCAAGCCGCTGTCTCCTGGGTGGGAGCCGAGTATATCCCTGTAGCAGCATTTGGTTGACCGCCGTGTTGCTGAAGGCCTTGGTTCGTTCCCTTATCAACTCCTGTAAAGACTTAAACAGACACGGTAGTATAAAAGACAGTGTAAGAATAGCAAACAATGATCCTAAGAGTGGCATTAACCAGGTAATGAGCGGTTTCACAGAGGAGAGGAAAATGGGGAGGGGGCTCTGGACCCTTGTGAGACCTGTTTGATGGACGTGGTTTAAAGCTGATCCCAAGCAACCGGGAGAAAGGCCACTCAACTTTTGCAGGTAGAGGGGTTTGTCTGTAGGGAAATTCTGAACAATCATACAACATCAGGTTGGGGAGAGAACCATCAATACACACAGGTCAGGAGCAGAGCCATTGATGTTGGAGTAGAGGCTATGATTATATAAGAATGAGGCCCCAAGTGGGCTAGATAGGGTCTAGAACAAAGGACAGAGTCATTACTAGAGGACCCAAGAGAGCTGATGTCTAAACCATGACTAAGTTGTCTGATTAGGAGGCAATAGAAACTGACAGAAGGGGCTTGATAATAATCAGGTGGGCTTTAAGACCTTGTCAGTTGTGAGGCCCAGATTTATCTCTCTCTTCACATGGGGTACATCCTAAGGGAGGTGTGAACCTCTTGGGGAATGCACCCTGTTGACTTCCATTACCTAGCTGGCCTGGGAGGAGAGCTGGCTGGGTAAAGGCAGGTGGCATTCCTAACAGGAAACCTACAGTTCTGCCTGCAATGTTGCTGACCCTACTTGGCCATCCCCTCAGCAGTGGTGGTCACTTTGGAAACTGGGCTGAGTGAAGGGCTCTTCAGCTTGGAGCCAGCAAGATCTGTGGCTCTGACCTGGGTGTCCTTCAACTCCAGGGCAGTTCCATTTCCAGAGATCCAACTCTTGGCTGGCAGAGCTGCCAGGGCTCTTCCTAGCTGACTTCTGCTGAACCCAGGCTTACCACACTGAAAGTCAGTGCAGTGGACTGGCCTGTTGGGTCTCCTTGAGGGCAGATCACTGTGCAGAGCTGCCTTTAATTGGCCTGCCACCTCTCTTTACATTGTTTCTGATGCCTAGCTTTCTTTTCCTCCTTTTTTTTTTTTTTTTTTTACAGCAGACCAGAGGGTGCAGGTGAAGGAGGTGCTCATGTCCCATCTTTAATCTTTGGTGGCCTCAACTAGAAGCCTAAAGTACAGGCATGTTCTGATAGTGGTTTTCCCTGAGGTAGACCATGTCCATGGGGAAAGCTATGTCCTCACTTTCAAACTTTCTCTCCCTCTGTTTGCTCTGAAAGGGATGTTTTGCCTGTTTATTGTGCCCATGGCAAAGTAAATCTAGCTGTGAAATTATAATTTAAGCTTTCCTTTTGGCTATGCTATTACAGAAATCTGTTAGCCATCCCTTTTACAGGTCTAAAAATCAAATTGTGCATCTTGGAGAGTCTGTCGGAATAGAGTTAGTTTCCTACCTTGAAGAGAATAGAGAAATGAGGACAAGTTGGGCTTAGAATAGAGAGATGAGGGAGCAAGTCCCACATTGCTTACTGACCATAGCATTATCAAATGAAAACTTAGCAAAGAATTTCAACCATTAAATGACAACTTAGGGAAACATTTACCAGAAGGTCCATTGCCTTCTATAAATTTTAAGAACACATGTATTTGGAAACATCTCTTAAATATCTAACATGGTGTAGCTTGTTTAACCAGCAAATTCAAGCACAAACATATAGAAACCTTTTTAGTTTCTTTCTACCAACTAAGTTAAAATATCTGATACAGAGATTCAGGTCACATGAATCAAAATGTATCTTTGATTAATTTTATCAGTTTAAATTTATGGGCAATCTTTTATCTACAAGCCAATAAATAAAGTTCTTAATGAATTTTCCCATGTAGACATACAATATGTATACACATATAACAAAGGCGATAGAACAGTAAAACCATTTCCACAATAGCTTTTCAAACTCTTCAACTGTTTTTTAGTTTACCAATTGATTCGATTTACTTTCTGCTCTTAGTTTCCTGAATTAACCCTGCTTTCTTCCAGGTGGAACCTGTAGTGCATTATTGGCTTCATCTGTTTACAGAGCCATCCCAAAGTACTGAGTACAGCAGAAGTGGCTGGGAAAAGTCTACGGGAACCTATACAAAACTGTGAATGACAAAAGGCTTTAAATAGCCATGTTTAAAATTAGAAACCATGAACCAACAAAAGGCAGTTGTGTCCTTCACACAGTAGTTTTGAATGCACCTGTAGGGTTTTACAGAACATTTAACTGTTTAGGCCTCTGGGCCTTTTTCATTAAGATAACCATCATGTCTAGTAACATAAGATCATTAGACTTTTTAACTTTAGGACATTTTTATCAGTAGCATTTTATATTATGAAACTTAAAATTTAGCACCACTTCACATCTTGACAGTACTTCTAATATAATCCAAATATCCTGATTAGTTGGTGTCTCTACAAGATGAGAGACATATATCCTTTGATTTTTCTAGTTGGTTGGGCCCAAACTGGAAAAATAAAAGTCCACTTTACTGGAAATTTCAGAGTCCAAATTCTTTGGAACTTTGATTTTGGATTTTTTGGAATGCCTGTCAAGGATGCCCAGAAGGCTTAAAGTATCTGGTTGAAATAAGATCCTTTACCATTAGGACATAATGTAGACCAAATCTGATCATTGTTAAAAGGCGATTATTCAAATGTTTTAGAATAAGCGTTTTTAAATACCCACAGCTCTTCTTAAAACACTCAGCTGTTTCTAAACAATTAAAATTTAACAGAGGCATCAAGAGAACATAATAGATTACTTTTGATGGAACAAGGACATAAGCCTCAGCCATTCTCCCTCACTGCCCAAAGGAGATAAACTTTGGGATGTATTCCTTGCCCTTGAAACTCAATTGGGTCTTACACCCTATTGCCTTCATACCCCACCCTGCATTCTTTTCCAGGTTCAAAGGGCATCCCCCCCCCCCCCCCAGTTTCTGGAATTCCCTTCCCTGCTGCTTCCTACCTCCACCCCAGCCCTAGCCCTCCTGGCCTGGCATCTGGGAGTCCAGGCCTTCTGCCACATGATCCATCATGTACACACAGAGGTCACCCACCTCTGCGGATTTATTTTCTCTGAATAAATTCGGTCTGTCTGTAAATTCGTGCATTGCCTCTTCTCTAATCTGCAATGGAGGAATAACCAAGTGAGTCATGTCACTGGCCCCTTAAACCCATCTTTAAAACAGATGTCTCAGACAAAAAAAAAATAGTGTAAGGATTTCATGAAACCTCCCGAGATGTTGAATGTGGAGGCAGCTCCAGACTCTGACTGGGGTCACCACTCCTTGAGCTCTTCTCTAGGTGACAGCTCCAGAGAAGCAGCCTGCGGGTATTCCTAACGCTTCATGCACTTACCTCTAAGTCTAGAGTAAGCCCCAGTGAAACATGGAAATGTATATAGAACTGTTGCTCTTCCATGGTTTTATCATACCAAGATACATGAATTTAACTTACTTTAATGCAGGCAAAGCATCTAATTTTTGTCCATTTACCTTGTTAAAATAACATTCCTCTCATACATACTGATTTCTTGACCCAAATGGAAATATTAACCTTAGGTCAAGATGGGAGAGAGATGACTACAATAAAAATGTCTTTACTAAAATACCACATGCATACACACAAATGCAGAAAGAGAGAGAGAGAGAGAGAGAGAGAGTTTTCTTCCATCTGCTGTTACACTCTACAAATGGCTGCAATGGCCAGGTCTCCCATGTGGGTGCCAGGGCCCAATCACTTGGTACATCTTCAGCTAATTTTCCAGGCCATTAGTATGGAGCTGGATTCGAAGCCAGCACTCCAACTGGTGCCCGTGTGGGATGCTGGCATTGCAGGGGTGGCTTTATCCACAACACCACAATGCTGGCCTGTCGTGTATATCTTTTAAAAGCATCATATGCTCCATCCTTCCTCACTCCCACCCTCAGTGCTCTTCTTTTTTAATTTTAATTTAATTTAATTTTAAAAGGATGTATTTATTTATTTGAAATTCAGAGTTACACAGAGAGAAGAGAGGCAGAGAGAGAGAGGTCTTCCATCCGATGATTCACACCCCAGTTGGCCACAATGGCTGGAGCTGTGCCAATCCGAGCCAGGAGCCAGGAGCCAGGAGCTTCCATTTCTCCCACCTGGGTGCAGGGCCCAAGGATTTGGGCCATCTTCTACTGCTTTCGCAGGCCATAGCTGGGAGCTGGAACAGAGGTGGAGCAGCCGAGATTCAAACCGGCGCATCAGGCCAGGACATTAACCCGCTGCGCCACAGAGCTGGCACCTATTTGAACTTTTGAAAGACTTACTTTCAATGTACTTTATAAACACTAGCTCAGCCCTCCATATATACAAAATTCAACACGGAGTAAGCAGAAAACCACTGTTCCTCATCCTAAAGACAAGGCTATGCTTCTCAATTCCCCCAATCCCACTGTCACTACCAGACCTGAGGTGCACTTCCGCCCCCTGGGGGTCATAGGTGGAATCGCGTCAGCTTTCAATCCCTGATAGAGCAGTTCTTCATTTAATCTGAAATCAAATAGAAAATTCTCATGGAATTGAACCAATAGTAACTTCATTGCACACAATGGCACACAACTAATGGATTCACATCTCTTGTAGATGTAGACTAAGTGGAAACATCGAACAGAGCCCTTCATCTCACAGATCTTCCATGGTAGTGGGCAGGGCTGATGGTACTCAAACCAACAATGTTCTACCTCTGCTCCTGATATTGGAATTTGACCTTCCAAAAATATAATTTGGGGTGCCATACGATATCACCATATGCTTATTAATAAGTTCCCCATATTAATAAGCCCATGTGGGTTCTTGCCTAATATTCAGAGAATTCCACATACTGGCATAAGTGAACGAGGCAGCATGGTACATTTTAAGCTTTTATTCAGTGAGAAAGATGCATAGGAGAGTGAGGGCCCCGTCTAAAGGAGAGAGGTAAATGTGGATTCATACCAAGTACCAGGAACCAGCCACGTGGAGGAACATCTAGGCCAGGAAGCATGGGGCTGGTGGCCCGAAGACTACGTGTCATAGAGGCTCAGGACTGCAGCCAGCCCCCTACTGGCAAGAAGCCAGTGAGAGAAGGGAGGAAAAAGGGCAGACACACCTTGTCTCAGGCTTTTAATCCACTTCCAAGGGGAGTGGTTAATTCACCTGATTGACCGGTGCCCACTCAGGTGTGGCCAGCAGTGGAGCAGTGGGGAATCAAAGCAGTCTCTGATGTAGGCTGCTGGCTTTGCAAGTGGCAGCTCAATCCACTGTGCCACGATGCCAGCCTTCCCTCCTCTCTGGATTTTCTTAAGACAAACGTGAACGTTTCTGAAGAGGAGAGAGAGGGTAGTATATTTTCTTGATGTTCCTCAGACCTATGATGAAGCCTAGAATTTTCACTTCTTTTTTCGTTATGCAACCTGATCAGAACTCAGGCTGCAGGTGGGAGAGCGCACCTGCGTGATCTCTCCTCTAAGCACCCCCGTCTCCTTCTGAGTCCTGGTCTCTGGCAGCCGCTTATTCTGAGTCAGTACAGAGGTGAGTGTGGACAGAAGTCTTGAATCTCAGAGACCATCTCCCTGGTGCAGCGGTCTGCCGTGAGGGGACCATGTGAGGGCATCAGAACACAAGTAAAGAAATGGCCTTAGGCATAAATTAGTTTACTATCTATTTTAAAGAAAAGGAACTTTCTCCTACAGATCCCAGATAACCATGAATTTATTACACCATCTTGTCCAATAAACTCACAATTTTGGCAACTGTCCCTCAGGGAATTTGGGAGGTGATGTCTCCTGGTAGAAGCATGCACACTGCAGGTAAACGTGTGCAGCCCTGGTCTGAGCTGGGGCAGCTGAGACACAGCCCCTGGGCTGAGTTCTGAGCTGCCCTGGGCCCTTCAGCTGGCACAGCCCGGCCCCGCCCCTGCTGATTTGCATGTCCCCAGAGCACACCCACCTCTCTGGGCATTTAGGAGCAGGCTGCTCCCACCCCATGCAGGAGGCAGTGCCAGGCAGGACCCAGCATGGACATGAGGGCCCCCACTCAGCTGCTGGGGCTCCTGCTGCTCTGGCTCCCAGGTAAGGAAGGCCAGCAGCAGGAACGGCCTCGGGCAGTGTGGCCAGGGCTGCCCGTCTCTGCAGGAGCGTCCTCTTAGAACGTGAGGATGAGTGTGGTCTCTGTGTTTCTGTTTCCCTTTTCAGGTGCCAGATGTGATGTTGTGATGACCCAGACTCCAGCCTCCGTGGAGGCAGCTGTGGGAGGCACAGTCACCATCAAGTGCCAGGCCAGTCAGAGCATTAGTAGTTACTTATCCTGGTATCAGCAGAAACCAGGGCAGCCTCCCAAGCTCCTGATCTACAGGGCATCCACTCTGGAATCTGGGGTCCCATCGCGGTTCAAAGGCAGTGGATCTGGGACAGAGTTCACTCTCACCATCAGCGACCTGGAGTGTGCCGATGCTGCCACTTACTACTGTCAAAGCTATTATTATAGTAGTAGTAGTAGTTATGGTTCCACAGTGATACAAGCCCTAACAAAAACCTCCCAGGAAAGCAGAAGTGTGAGGCTGGGCTGCCCCAGCTGCTCGTCCTGGCCCCATCTGCTGAGAGTGATTCTCAGAGCAGCCAGGCTTGAAGGTCCTGCAGGGTCGGGTGGAAGGGGCCAGGTGACTCTCTGAGGCTCCCTCCTTTCCTCCTCCTTGGTGGCAGCAGCACTGACATGACCATGTCCCTACTGTTCTAAAGGAAATCAACTATTCTTTCTGAATATGGAAGCTAACGTATCATTCGGGATTCATGAAGTAAAAGAGAAAACATTATAGATATTACAAGGAAAAATATTTTAAATACAGGTTATTATTACATTTTATAAAGGATACAAATTTCATATGTACAGGTTTTTATATGTAGAGCTTTTTAAAAGATTTTTGCTTATGAAAGCCCATGCTTTAACAGACACACACACACACACACACACAGTGGAGAGAGAGTTCTCTTTCATCTGCTGGTTCTCTCCCCCAAAGGCTACCCAGGCTGAGGCTGGGCCTGCCAAAAGCTGGGCAACGGAATTTCTTTTCTTTTCTTCTTTTTAAGATTTATTTTATTGATTTGAAAGACAGAGTTACAGAGAGATGTGCAGACAAAGATGTCTTCTATCCGCTGGTTCACTGCCCAGATGGCTGCAAAAGCCAAGCTGTGCCGATCCGAAGCCAGGAGCTTCTTCTGGTCTCACATGCTGGTGCAGCGGCCCAAACATTTGGGCCATTTTCCACTGCTATACCAAGCCATAGGGGAGAGCTGGATTGGAAGAGGAGCAGCTGGGACTAGAACCGGTGCCCATATGGGATGCTGGCGCTTCAGGCCAGGGCTTTAACCCTCTGCGTCACAGCACCGGGCCCGGGAGATGGAATGTCTTTCAGGTCTCCTACATGGGTGCCAAGGCTGAAACACATGTTCCAGCTGCCTCCTATGGCTGGGAAAGCAGTAGAAGATGGCCCATGTGGTTGGTCCCCTGCACCCACGTGGGAGACCTGGAAGAAGCTCCTGGCTCCTGGCTTCAGATTGGCGCAGTTCCAGCCATTGTGGCCAGTTGCGGAGTGTACCAGTGGATGGAATATCTTTCCCTGTCTCTCTCTCTCTCTCTCTCTCTCTCTCTCTCTCTCTCTCTCTCTCTGTCTCTGTGTCTCAATCTCTGCCTCTCCTTCACTCTCTGTGTAACTCTGACTTTCAAATAAACAAATCTTTAAAAAAAATTAGCAGAGAAGAAGGTATGTATTAACTTTCCTTTGTGGGCTTGAGAACAATGAGCCCCTATCACAGCCTCCTAATGGAGTGCAGCTGGAGTGCTCACAACAGTCAAGTCACACAGAGATTCTGTGCAGCCGCTGTGCTGGGCTTTGCACGGAGAGAGTGGTGTGAGAAGAGGAAAAGAGCTCAGATTAGGAGCTGAAGAGCCTGGTTTAGTCTCAGCGCTGCTGAGCTGGGAGAAGACCCGGTGCTCTGGCCTCCTGTTCCCTGTGTCTAGGTGGGAGGGACAGAGGGCTTCCCAGGTTCCTTTTGCTGTCAGGCTCTTTGTTATGGGGGTGGAAAAGGTGGAGGAGCAGTGTTGCTGGGAGCTGCAGAGCATCCGAGTGGACAGCAGCGGGCGGGGACCCCGTGGTTCAGAAGAAAGCCCATCTTCAGTTTCCCACCAGGTGCCCACTGTCTTTTTTTCCCATCCACTAACAGCAAATGTTCACAACAGGAAAGCTGGGTGTCGTTTACCGATTGTGACGAACGCATGGATGTGAGCTGTCAGCTGGGTGTGCAGTGGAAAGGCACTGTGTGTACTGCTTCACAATTTTTTGATTTGTAAATTTAAAGCTATTCTGAAATGGAAAGTTTCTTTACACAACAACACAACAACAACAACAATAACAACAAACTGAGTATCACAGCAAACTGTGAAAAAGAAAAAAACGTTCCCCTGGCGTGACTTTAGTGTTCATATTGTCCTGCTGCTTGTCTGCAGGAGGCTGACAGACATCTGCAAATAAGAAATCAGCCCTGGAAAGGGTTTTTTAAAATTGTGTATGTATTTATTTTTATTTGAGTGGGAGAGAGAGAGGGAGAGAGATCTTCTGTCCATTGGTTTACTCCCCCAAAGGCCAGGCTGAAGCCAGTAGCCCAGGACTCCGCCCAGGCCTCCCACGTAGATGGCAGGGACCCAGGCCCTGAGTCCTCACTCTCAGGGTGCACATGAGCAGGAAGCTGGCATCAGGAGCAGACTGGGATTAGACCAGGCACTCAGTGTGGGATGGGAGCAACCCAAGGGCCAGGCTGATGCCAGGGGTCAGGGACTCCATCTGGGCCTATGTGGGTGGCAGCAGCCAAAGTACTTGGGCCACCATCTGCCACTTCCCAGGTGCATGAGCAGGAAGAGGCATCAGAAGCGGAGCTGAGACTCAATCCCAGGCACTCAAATGTGGGCTGTGGGTGTTCCAAGTGGCAGCTGAAGACACTGCCACAGCATCCACTCTGCCTAATTTCTACTATTTATTTCCTTCCAGTGACTTTTGGTTTGGTGTATTTTAATTTTTCTATGTCTTGAGATCACTGTCACATTTTTAATTTGATGTCTTTCTTGGTTTTTGTGGATGTGAGTACATATTGCATTAAACTTCCCTGGCTCCTTGTTTTGGCCTGGCACAGCTCTGGCCATTGTGGGCCCTCTGGGGAGTGATCTCTCCCTCTCTGTGCCTCTGTCTCTTCCTCTCTGTAACTCTACATTTCAAATAAAGAAATTAGTAAATCCTTTCTGTAAAAAAATAAAAAAGGCCTGAGGCTGCAATCTCCCTGCAGCCACTTGCTCAGGGGATACTCCCCCCTCCCTCAGCTTGGAGAATCCCAGTTCAAGTTTATCCAGCTCCTCAGACCAGGAGTCAAACACAGAGCAGTCTGGATGGGCTGCCTCACAAGCGACTGCCCGCTTCCAGGATTCACACGTTTCTTATGGAGTGGGTGCGTGCACTAGTCAGGTTTGAATAGCACGGATTTCAGTGTTGTCAGTTGAGAATCCAGCAGGATACTGGTAATAGTTAAGGTTTTGGTCATGGATTACATGACTACACTGCGTTCCCACACTTGATGTTACCTATGTGCACAAACAGTGAGGTCGCTCATCATTTTCCCACGATGGCCCTGGGCTGTGAAGCTTCCTCCCCTTAGGGCGCAGCAGTCCCCCGGGTCACAGAGTTTGCTGAGAAGCTGTGCTCCTTGGGGGACTGACTGAAAGCAAGAGTGTATCAGATTACATTAGTCCCAAAAGTCCAGGAGGGGTAGAGGGATGAACATTTAACTGTTTAGGCCTGTGGATTTTTCTCATTAAGATAATCATCATGTCTAGTAACACAAGATCATTAGACTTTTTAACTTTAGGACTTTTTTTTTTTTTTTTTTTTTGACAGGCAGAGTGGACAGTGAGAGAGAGACAGATTGAAAGGTCCTCCTTTTGCCATTGGTCACCCTCCAATGGCCACCGCGGCCGGCGCGCTGTGGCCAGCGCATCGCGCTGATCCGAAGGCAGGAGCCAGGTGCTTCTCCTGGTCTCCCATGGGGTGCAGGGCCCAAGTACTTGGGCCATCCTCCACTGCACCCCCTGGCCACAGCAGAGAGCTGGCTTGGAAGAGGGGCAACCAGGACAGAATCCGGAGCCCCAACCGGGACTAGAACCCAGTGTGCCGGCGCTGCTAGGCGGAGGATTAGCCTAATGAGCCACGGCGCCGGCCAGGACATTTTTATCGGTAGCATTTTATATGATAAAACTTATAATTTAGTACCACTTCACATCTTGACAGTACTTCTATCTAGTATAATCCGAATAGCCTGATTAGTTGGTGTCTCTACAAGATGAGAGACATATATCCTTTGATTTTTCTAGTTGGTTGGGCCCAAACTGGAAAATTAAAGTCCACTTTAATGGAAATTTCAGAGTCCAAATTCTTTGGAACTTTGATTTTTGGTTTTTTGGAATGCCTGTCAAGGATGCCAAGAAAGCTTAAAGTATCCGCTTGAAATAAGATCCTTCACCATCAGGACATAATATAGACCAAATTTGATCATTGTTAAAAGGCGATTATTCAAATATTTTAGAATAAGCATTTATTTAAATAAACCAAAGCTCTTAATAAAAAACTCAGCTGTTTCTAAACTTTTAGAATTTAACAGCGGCATCAAGAGAACATAATAGATTACTTTTGATGGAACAAGGACATAAGCCTCAGCCATTCTCCCTCACTGCCCAAAGGAGATAAACTTTGAGATGTATTCCTTGCCCTTGAATCTCAATTGGGTCTGACACCCTATTGCCTTCATACCCCACCCTGCATTCTTTTCCAGGTTCAAAAGGCACCCCCCCCCCCCCCCCCCCCCAGTTCCTGGAATTCCCTTCCCTGCTGCCTCCTACCTCCACCCCAGCCCTAGCCCTCCTGGCCTGGCATCTGGGAGTCAAGGCCTTCTGCCACAGGCTCCATCTTGTACACACAGAGGTCACCCACCTCTGCGGATTTATTTTCTCTGAATAAATTCGGTCTGTCTGTAAATTCGTGCATTGCCTCTTCTCTAATCTGCAATGGAGGAATAACCAAGTGAGTCATGGCACTGGCCCCTTAAACCCATCTTTAAAACAGAAGTCTCAGACAAAAAAAATAGTGTAAGGATTTCGTGAAAACTCCTGAGATGTTGAATGTGGAGGCAGCTCCAGACTCTGACTGGGGTCACCACTCCTTGAGCTCTTCTCTAGGTGACAGCTCCAGAGAAGCAGCCTGCGGGAATTCCTAATGCTTCATGCACTTACCTCTAAGTCTAGAGTAAGTCCCAGTGAAACACTGGAAATGTATATAGAACTGTTGCTCTTCCATGGTTTTATCATACCAAGATACATGAATTTAACTTACTTTAATGCAGGCAAAGCATCTAATTTTTGTCCATTTACCTTGTTAAAATAACATTCCTCTCATACATACTGATTTCTTGACCCAAATGGAAATATTAACCTTAGGTCAAGATGGGAGAGAGATGACTACAATGAATGTCTTTACTAAAATACCACACACACGCACACAAATGCAGAGAGAGAGAGAGAGAGAGAGAGAGAGAGAGAGTTTTCTTCCATCTGCTGTTACACTCTACAAATGGCTGCAATGGCCAGGTCTCC